CAATATCCATCGTTTAAAGTGCCTTTCTTGACCTTCGAAATCAATTACTGAAAATTTTGTGAACGGCTACGTTTCAATCCAACGTATTCATTCATGCATATATGTACATACAAATTTCATTATTATACATTCAACCATCACCCAATCATATTACCGGCTTTGCACACTTGCCATTCTAGTTAGCCGTTAACCATACACTTCCTAATTTCATTACTACGTTCCTGGTACGACTAATTTAACATGTCAAATCAACCGGACAGGGTTTTAGGTGGATTTTTATTATTAATATTGGTTAGTTCATACACTTTAACAATAATTACTCATAAAGAATCCAATGACAATTTATTTATAAGAAATAAATCTACTACTACATCTTCATTATAACTATTATAATTTTTATAAATGTTATATTCGCTACCTTCCTTCTACTCATCATCCCTCCTATATGTCTAATATATCGCAAATACTTCCGATATGTCTTATATGACACATCGGTACATCGACAAGTTAACCTATTTTGGGGGTTTCGATCATGTTATCACGCCTGCAGTAAGATTACGTTTTCATACTAACAATGTCAATCGGTTGGCTTGTATACATATAACTCGGATGAATCGATGATTCGATTTTTGGTATCATTTTATTGGCTTCTAAGAATTGGTTTTTGATCTCACTATCATTATCCTGTTCTATCGCATCAAGCCAATAAATGATACTTGAGCTGATGATGGTAACTGTTGGTCGTTTTTTCGGATCAGAATTCATACATCTCTTGGCCAATGTCACATAGCATTCTGGAGTTCCTTCACCAAATTTTGGCCTTTCGGATCCTTTGCAAATTTTAAAAGAAAGTTTAGTATCAAAAGGAACGCCATCAAATGCTTTTTTTCCGGAGGATATCTCAGACATAATAACACCGAAAGAGTATACATCAGCCGCTTGGGTGAATTGTTCACCCATCAAAACCTCAGGAGCTACGTATGGCATGATTCCATTAATTTTACCATCCTGTTTGATATCAGACGGTGCTGAAAGTCCCAGATCTGTGACGTACGCGTTATGCAAAAGGTTTTGCAAAATATTTCCGGAATGCAAATCTTTATGGATTAATTCTTGAGAATGAATGGATTCAAGATCCGAAGCCACACAATACAATAGATTTAACTTTTTTTTCCAATCCATTTTCACAACTTTAGAAAGGTTTTCACGTAAAGATCCTTCCTTTGCATATTCCAAAACTATTATATAAACTTTTGTAACTGGATCCATTGATACTCCGTAGCATTTTAAAAACGATGGATTTTCGTATCCAATATCACAATACTTCTTCAACTAATTAATATTTAATAATTGAGTCACTTAAATGACTTTAAATGAGAAAAATAAGTACGAATTAATCAATTAGTTAATTAATATTACCTCATCAACAAATTCTTGGCTACATTTATTTGAATTATGAATTAATTTTATTGCAACATGTTTCCATAAATTTTCATTTTTATCAAGCCATTCTGCAAAATATACAGTTGCAAATCCACCTTTTCCAATTTCTCTTATATCTTCAAATTCATTGTAAGGAATCCAAGTTAGTTTATAATTTTCGTCACTTATTACATTCTTTAATTCGTCATGATCTAAGCCTTCGTGTAAGACGTCTATGTTTATCTTTTTTATATTCCTTCCCTTTCGATACCAATGATTAGCACGTTGTATGTCCCTTATTACTCCTATTCCATTTCTATAACAGTCTCCAACCTTTATCATTCCACTAATGTCTCCCATATCTGCTGTTTTTTTGAAATAAATGAACGCCTTATGTTCATCTTTTTCAACTCCGGACCCATTTTGATAACAATATCCAACGTTATATGTTCCACTGGCGTGCCCCATATCAGCAGATTTTTGATAATATATGAATGCCTTACGTTCATCCTTTTCAACTCCAAGTCCATTCTGATAACATTCTCCAAGATTAAAAGTCGCAATAACACTTCCCTTTACAGCAGCTTTTTGATAATATATGAATGCCTTATGTTCATCCTTTTCAACTCCGAACCCATTTTGATAACAATATCCAACACTATATGTTCCACTAACGTTCCCCACATCAGCAGATTTTTGATAATATATGAATGCTTTATGTTCATCCCTTTCAACTCCAATTCCTTCGTCATAACATCTACCAAGTGCAAACATTCCATCAACATCCTCCATATCAGCAGATTTTTGATAATAAATGAATGCCTTATGTTCATCCTTTTCAACTCCAATTCCATTCTGATAACATTCTCCAAGATTAAAAGTTGCAATAACACTTCCCTTTACAGCAGCTTTTTGATAATATATGAATGCCTTATGTTCATCCTTTTCAACTCCAATTCCATTTCGATAACAATATCCAACTTTATATGTTCCTTTAACGTATCCCATATCAGCAGATGTTTGATAATATATGAATGCCTTTTGTTCATCCTTTTCAACTCCAATTCCTCTTTCATAAAAATATCCAACATTAAATGTTCCTTTAACGTGCCTCATATCAGCAGATTTTTGATAATATATGAATGCCTTATGTCTACTCTGTTCAACACCAATTCCATTTCGATAACAATATCCAACACTACACGCTCCACCAGCGTGCCCCATATCAGCAGATTTTTGATAATATATGAATGCCTTATGTTCATCCTTTTCAACTCCGATTCCTTTTTCATAACAATATCCAACATCGAAAGTTGCAATTGCATAACCCATGTCAGCAGATTTTTTATAGTATTCAAAAGCCTTAAGTTCGTCTTTCTCGACTCCAATGCCATTTTGATATTTCCTTCCAAGTTCATGGAGCTCTTTGTCTGTCTGACTCATGTTCAATGTTATATAGTTTCAATTAAATCTTTTTCATGGTTATTTATAGTGGGGTTTACTAATTTCCCCCACACTAGTACCATAAAATTGATTAATAACATGGACACCCGATATGTGAATACGTAGTAGAACAAATCAGAAGTGTGGGGAAAAATTAGTAAACTCGTTTATAGTATACATTTACATAGTATACATTTACGACTATCTTTTACAAAAATAGTTAATTTGTTTTTTAAATTTATAAAAAAATATATTAAGCGCTTGTTAATGTCGTACGTACGTACGTACGTGTAGTGATGGGACCTCCCGCATTATTAATAATTAATAATAATTAATAAATTGTTAACTAAAAACTATATCGATCGATATATATACTTAATAATGTATGGCGCAGCTATTTAGTATTAGTACCGCGCAAGCGTATGAAAAATATGCCAACATTTTTGTTTAACTAGTGCTTGGATACGTCCTTATACCATGTATTAAATGACATCTTATTAAAATAAGGATATTAAAATTACAGTTGCAGGAGACAAGTGCATTTTTTTTTGTTTGCGAAGCGATGAATTTTTCATTAATAATATATGAATACACATATTTATATTTCAGCTTTTAGTAATAAGCATAAATTTTATTAGAATTTAATTGCCGGGTTAGTAAATGACAATTATAGCACACTCATTAATAGGAATTTAAGTCGCAATGAAATATACCTAAATTCAATTAATTGTACAAAGACAAAAATTTTTACGAACCTGTTCAATTTTCAAAACTTACTGACCCAACTTAAATTTCTTCAAAATGTTGTTCGAAGTGAATTTTTTGCAAATATAGTGTTCATGAGAACATTTGTATAAACTATTTAATAATCCTTTTTTTTCTTTCTTTTTTACCAAGAATAAAGCATGCGTTTAGAGTATAACCCGATAAGTTAGAACTTTATTTATCATCATTAATAAAAACATTTAAAAATTAATAGCATTTAAAGTAACTCTAATTTTATATATATGATTAATTAATGTAAAAATTTAACGATTTTTCAACAGCCTTAGAATCAAATATATTTTTAAGTGCTGGAATGATTTCCTCACTATTTACATCAAATACATGAATATCATCTATTAATTTTTCAGAAATTGGATTTAAATTTACTATAAATTCATCTATATCATCACTACTATCAATATAGTCATCATTATCTAAAATATTACTCTTTATTTCATTCAATGTTTTTTTAGAAAGTTGAGATTCTTTTTATTTTGTTTTGAGTTTTGACTTATATACCAAGAGACTTGTGTTATTTTTGCAGCCTGTACTGGTGATAACCTGTTATAATATTCTGTATATATATTATATAATAAAGATTATACTCATTTATAAGTTGCAGAATTAGATAGAATGGATAGAAGATGATATACAAATTTACTTAAATTCAAAGCTATATTTAACATAGTACACCAGTATCTTAGTAAAAATTTTAAAAACTTGGATTTTTAACAGATGATATAGAAAATAAACTCTCTTGATTTGAGTAATTAGACTATTCATCAATAAACTAGTTTTGATTACAATCTGAATAAAAAGTATAAAATAAGCTATATATGACTTTTGAATATATAAAAATTATATTAAATTTAATTCTTTATCTAGTATTTCTATGAACTGAACTAAACTGAACTTTTGGCCAAGTTCAAGTTTAGCTCAAAATTGAACTAAACTTGAACTTGAACTTTTTTTAAAAAAAGTTTAGTTCAGGTTCAATATTGAACTTTTAAATCAAGTTTAGGTTTAGTTCAGGTTTAGTTCAAAAGTTCAT